AGTGACTGTGGAGGCCAATTCTGGATCCACATGTCCTTGTACAGTGGGGACATTGGTTTCCGGGCGGGAGCTGATCATGGTGTGGATTTGCCAAGCGTGCCTTCCTCTTAGCACGTTTCTCCCTCCTCACGCTTACCTGGCTTTGAGAAGGCACCTTCCTCAGCTGCCCTAAAGCTGCCCCTGGCCTGAGGAAGGACCATCCACCTTGGACCTGACAATAAAAAGTAAGCCAAGAACAACGGACTACAGTGATGTCTGCTGTTTTGTTTCCAGACACCCTTCTCATAGCAATAAGCTTGAGAGGGTGTGTAAGGAAGATATTGAATTGATATTGGTTTATGTAGGTTACCAACTTTGTATTAAAGTCACATTTCTATATGTAACTGTGTATTTTTGCAATATTTTAAGTTATCTGTTGTTGTTTCAGTTTTTTTGTACACCACTTAATAGATTTTTTTAATTTACTGAGTAGTATAGAAATCAAATATTTGAATAATTAAATTAGAGATTTTTATGCAACCAATGGCCATCCAACCATTTTTATGATTGGATGGCCATCTGCAATGGATGCTTTAGTTGAGATTTCTGCACTGCAGGGGGTTGGTCTAGATGACCCTCGGGGTCCCTTCCAATTCTACAATTCTATGGTTCTTTGAATTTTGAGCAGGCCAGAAGAATCTGCTCCCACCCAACAACCCATCACTGCCGTTCTCCTACAGCTGCCTTTCTTCTAAAAGGTATAGAAAAAAATTACACACAACTGAATGCAGCCTGTACTGTACTTGGATCCTGTGTGTGCTGTCCAGCTAAAGTTGCACACTTTTAAGTCCCAGATTCACAGAGCTATCCCACACATTTTTATTTGGAAGTAAGTCCTACTGAGTTCCATGGGACTTGCTCCCAAGGAAGCATTTTAGGTTTGCAGGCAAATAGAACACAATGGGCAGAAATTTCCAAATCTTGGAAATATTCTTCTACTGGCATTGCTGAGAGTCATGAGCAACAGATGATGATGCTCCCAACTCCTACATGGTCATTTCTGTCCAAAGGGCTGATCAAGCTGACCTTCTATCTATCTATCTATCTATCTATCTATCTATCTATCTATCTATCTATAGAAGGAGGAGCTGCTGTTGCTGCTGTTGCTGCTACTACTACTACATCATCATTATCATAGCCAAATTATTTCATCAAGCAACTTACCCTTTGTATAAGACCAAGAGCAGTTCAGCAGCTACTCAGGGCACAGAAAGTGTATCACATTTCTAACCAACAGCAGTGTTGGAAAGGCTTACAAACTATAGAATCACAAAGAAGAGGCTATTTCTTTCTGTTGTTATCCTATAATGCAAAAACCAGACCTGAAACTACACCATTTCAATCCCTAACCTGGACAAGCACATTCAGCTACTCATTCCAGAAAATAAAACCAAAATGAAATATTTTCTGCTTGGTTGCTTCCCAGCATTCTGCCTGTTTTGCTTAAAGTGCAATTCAATGCAGATTGGGAAGATCCTGTTCAACATGAGGCTGTAAGGCAATATCAATAACAGAAGACCAAGAATATTCAAATGAATGTTGCCTGGATTTCCCCCCTGCAGAGCAAACAGAAGTTTTGGTGGGAGATCAGAAAAGAGTGGTATCATGGAGAACAGCCTCCCTTCCTCACTGCCCCTGCTCTGCAAAAGATTCAGTCCCCACTGCCTAACATACAAGGGGGAGGGAAGGACATGTTGGGACCCTGCCCTACAGCTCCTGCGTGATGTCTAATTTCACACAAGACCCATCCCTTGGAGCTGCTTCCCATGTTGTGTCTGCCACAGCCACACTGAAGTTGTTCTGGTGTTTCCCACAACAAATGCATAAAGAGTGAAGGGCAGTGTTGCATTTCTGAACACTCAGAGGTAAGCTAAACATGTCCACGGTGGGTTTTTAGGGGCATCCGTTTGCCCACTTCATGCTAAGCACTTCCTGTGAAAAACACCAGCAAGGCTGCGGCGAAGCCAATTGACAGAAAGTTAAAGGAAGGTTCAGGAAAGTGGGGCACTCCCTCAGGAAGCCTAAGATCCCAGCTGCAATTTTCTGTATTTCACAGGATAACCAGCACCAGAGTGAAAACTTGGTACAGAATTTGTCAGCAACACATTATCCGTTGAAAACAAATGTATTACACCTCCAGGGCTCTTTAAAGGTGTATTCATTGCTCAATAAAATATGCAAGGGGATACAGTCAGCATGCACAATTAAAGGATCTTCCCCTCTACCTTCTCTCTTTCCCACTCACAAATGCACACCAAACAAACTCCATACCCGCGTGCTGAGAGTAATAGTTTGCCTCATTGTTTTTGTCCATCCTTACTAATCTGATGTTTTAAAAAACGTATATAAGCCCTGTTATCTCTTTGGCTACCAATACAATTAACTGGTGTAGAGCTTTGGTTTGGAATATGAATTAGGAGATAGGAATACCTGGCTCAAATCTCAGCTCTGCCATTAACTTTCTTGGTGACTATAAGCTCAGCCTTTCCCCACTCCCATCTAAGGAAGAGTAATGCTGACCCATCTTGCAGGGTTATCGCACATAAGACATGTGGAAAATACTAGGTGTTGTTATTATGCTATGCATTCATTCATTTTCCTTGCTGTATTTCATAGACTCATAGAATTGTAAAGTTGGAAGGAACTACGAGGGTCATCTAGTCCAACCTACTGCAATGCAGGAATCTTTTTGCCCAACATGGGGTTTGAACCCATGACCTTGAGTTTAAGAGTCTTGCGCTCTACTGACTGAGCTATCTGTATCCCACTTTTTTCTCCAAGGAGCTCAACGGTGCTGGGTTAGGCTGAGTGACTGGCCCAAGGTCACCCAGTGAGCTTCATGGCCAAGTGGGGGATTTAAACCCTGGTCTCCCAGGTCCCAAGGGATGCGGGTGGCACTGTGGGTTAAACCACAGAGCCTAGGACTTGCCGATCAGAAGGTCGGCGGTTCAAATCCCCGTGACGGGGTGAGCTCCCATTGCTCGGTCTCTGCTCCTGCCAACCTAGCAATTCGAAAGCATGTCAAAGTGCAAGTAGATAAATGGGTAGGTAAGGTAAATGGGTAGGTAAGGTAACTGCAAGTAGATAAATGGGTAGGTAAGGTACCTTCTGGCGGGAAGGTAAACGCAGTTTTCGCGTGCTGCTCTGGTTTGCCAGAAGCGGCTTAGTCATGCTGGCCACATGATCCGGAAGCTGTACACCGGCTCCCTCGGCCAATAAAGAGAGATGAGCGCCGCAACCCCAGAGTCGGTCACGACAGGACCTAATGGTCAGGGGTCCCTTTACCTTTACCTCCCAGGTCCCAGCATGACACTTTAAGTTACTGTAATAGAGGTCAAGAAATGCAGCCGTCTGCCCATGTTATATTTCACCAACTTCCCAAACCTCAGGGCCAATTCACACTTCAAAATCAAGCACAAAAAGTATAAGACTTTAAGATGGCAAAATATGCACATTGAATCAGCCCCTACTTGTGCTTATTGCAGGAGTCCTTGGTCATTAAACACACCCGCACTAGACATGTGTGCCACTGAAACCTGGCTACCTTTTTTGTCCCTTGACTGAAAAATAAAATAAAATGCAAATAGGTCTTTCATAGTCACATGGGAAATGCAGAGGGAGCTGGTGGTCCTAGCCATATGGGAAGAAGCAGCCCATGAAAAACAGCTAGTCTGCATGAAACCCTAACACCATTGCAGCAAAGCATCACAATTAAATGTGAAATTTTATAATCCAGGGAACATCATTACAAACTGCTCAGATGTTAATAATTCTACTCACAGGGAAATCCTAACTGCTAGGCTTAAAAAGAAACCTGAGCAATGCGCCCAGAGGCATGAGACACTGAGGAGTTTTCCTACAAAACCCCCATGGACACAATTATTTGTGTCATCTTATACCTCTTTTAAATGTGTTTTGGGGAGGGGGTAATTGATTTGTTTTTTGTTCTTGCTATTATCACGTATTGGATGCTTCTATATTGTATTTTTATGTTGTGAACAGCCCTGAGATCTGTGGGTGAAGGGCTGTATATAATTTGCAGTGCAAAAGGCCATCTTGACATCAGCAGAGTGAAGTGGCCTATCTCTGGCAGTTATTTTGGAGTACAAGTAAGGGACAGCAAATGACCAGCAATTTCATTCATAAGCCCCACCAGGGGTGCATTCCCCCCCCCCCCGCCACCGCCTTTGGCACCAGGGCCATGTCCTGGGCCATCACCAACACCCGCTTGCATGGAGCAGCCAGGTCAGACCACTGGTCCATCTAACCCAACGTTGTCTGGTCACTGGTCTTGCTGGTATTTTCAGGCAGGGACGTTTTCAGTCCAGCTGCACTGGATCCTTTCGGCTGGTGCTGGGCGGGTGCGACCGGGTGGGGGTGAACCTTCTATAGGCAAAAAGCTTGCTCTCTTCCTCCTTCTCCTCTCTCCTACTGCCTGAGCTCCTTTTACCAAGCCCACTACAGTTGCACGGTCCGCCTCTCCTTCTCTCAAACTGCCACATTGCGCTCTTTCTTCCCCACCTTTTACAGGAGAGCAATGCCCTTTAGTGCCTAATGGGGTCGGCCAAAGATGCTTCACGGAGCAGAAAGAGCACTTATTCATTCATTACAAAACAGCTACAGATATGGAACATGGCAGGAGCCTGAAGCATCTCTGGTCTGGGGGATGTGAAGCTGGCAACCCGGCCAAGGAGCAGCACCGATCTGCCCAGCCGCCCTTCCAGGAACGCGCTGCGGGCACTGGAGAGAAAAGCAAGACGCCCCGCGGAGCAATCCCGGGTAATTTTCAGATTCTCCAGCGATGGAGAAAAAACTATTCAGAAAGTTAAGGAGCACCAATTCAGTTGGAGAACAGTCAACCCTCATGCCTGAGGGACCCATTCGCCAAGGCGGAGTACAAAAGGAGTGGAGGGAGGGGGACGGGGGGGAAGAGAAGGCATGGAAGAGGCTGGCCCACTCACAAATCTTGGCCACGCTGGCGACGAAAATCCACAGGACGATGATGTAGGGCGCCTGCACATGATGCCACTTGAAGGTGACGATCTGGAAGCCCTCGCTTGTGTGCTCCGGCGGCGCCTCTTCCATCCCCGCGGCGCCGGGCAGCAGCAGCAGCAGCAAGCCCAGCAGGAGAAGCCCCCAAGGCGGCAGCGGCCTCATCCTGGCCGGACCCATCAGCGGGGCAGAGACCTTGCGGGCGGCGGGCGGCGATGGCAGCGGGAGCGGCGAGCGCACAGCGTCTGCCCCAGCGCGCACGGCCGGCAGGGATCGGCCACGCCGCCGCCGCCGCCGCCTTTATGCTGTGCCCCCCGCCCCCGAGGGGAGGAGCCTCCTCGGCGGGGCCCGGGGCGCTTGGGCGCCTGGCTTGGCCCCGTGGGGCCCGCAGCCATCCACTTGGCCAGGCGGCAGCGCCTCGCCGGGCGCCCAGGAAAGCGGCGCGGCGTCCGGAGGATCGCTGCTCGCCCCTTCTTTCCTCTGCGGAGGAAGCCGGGGAGCCTGGCTCCGGTTCCCCCAGCAGGGAAACCGAACCACCGTCGGAAGCGCGCTCGTCCCGCGCGCCCGGAGGGAGCGGCGCGCCGGTTTCCGCCGGCGCTGCTCGCCGCTCTGCGTCTTCCTCGCGGCCGAGCCCCAGCCCGGTGCCTGCCTTCTTCCCGAGGAGCCGGCGCCTTTGCCCAGCGCCCAGAAAGCCGCGGCGGCGGATGAAGAGCAAGCGGGAGTCCGCGGCTGGACTGGGGTCCCGATCCCTCGGAGGCCGAGCGAGCCGGACACCCGGGAAAAGCTGCACGCCGAGCCCATTTGCGCGACTCGCCCGCCCACCTTCCCGGCCAGGCCACTTGGCGTGGGAGTTCAAACATCTCCCCGGGGAGATAAGGGAGCGGGCGTGGAAGAGGATCGCGGCAGGAAGGGAGAGACTGCTCGGCTTAGCAAAGGGGGCTGTGGAAGTGGCCCTGAAGCTCCAAGGGGGCCGCCTCCAGCTCCACCATGCAGTCAGCATTTGACTAACGCTGCGAGATAAGCGATTCTTGCAGCAAGCTTCAAAATAAAGTTTGAATTGCGCACCTAGTTCAGACTTCTGGCGTGGGGGCGACTGCAAGGATTTGATTCCCCACCCCGGCTCATGTCAGATGCCTGCAACGTCTTGGAGGAGGAACGGAAGGGCCCCTACCTGCAATGAGCCCACCACACACACAAAAAAACAAAATAGTGCTTTCTTTAGCACGTGTCAGAAAAAGGTGAAGAATTTTCCCAGGCCAGGGAAGTTTGGCTCTCTCAGACTTGCACATCTCTTTATTTAATGCACTCACGGCAACCCTTGTAGCTTGTGCGCTTCTGCCCGAAGGCAGCCTTTCTCCAGGCAAGACCCAGGCTGGTGGGTATTGTGGTCCCAAGCAGCTGGGTGGAAGCAGACTGGGAACTTCTGCCTCAAGGCATGGCACATTTCCTGGCAGAAGTGAAGCATGCCTTTGCTCCTGCCATCTCAGGGCAACCAAGGAGTTATCTTAATATCATTCAGGAACTAGTATTACATCTCAGGTTTTACTCCTCTCTTTTCAATGTTTTTAAAATCCTGCAAGTTATCTTGGTGCTATGGGAGCTGGCCAGAGAAGGCCACCTCTCCCCACAGCAGGACTAAACGTCAGGAAAGTGGGTCACTGTGGCACAGTGGGAAGCCACAGCTTGGCTTCTCCCTGGGCTTCTCCTGGTGAAGTGGGAAGCAGTGCTGCCATGTCTCTCATGCTTCCAAGGTAAAGATGTTTCAATCCAGCCTAAGTGGTGGAGAAAATAAAACGTCAGAACCTAAGAAGAGCCTCCTGGCTTAGGCTAAGTACCCACCGAGTCCAGCATCTTGTTCTCACAGTGGCCAACCAGATGCCCCAACGGGAAGCCACAAGCAGGACCCAAACACAAGAGGAACTTCCCCCCCCTGCAGTTTCCAGCAACTGGGATTCAGAAGCATGTTGCCTCAGAAGCGTTTAGTGACTACACTGCACATCTGATATACCAATATCTCAGAGGCTGCTGGTATGCAGTTCTCCAATGACATGCGAGAGCCAGTGTGGTGCAGTGGTTAAGAGCGGTAGTCTCGTAATCTGGGGAACCGGGTTCGCGTCTCCGCTCCTCCACCTGCAGCTGCTGGGTGACCTTGGGCCAGTCACACTTCCTTGAAGTCTCTCAGCCCCACTCGCCTCACAGAGTGTTTGTTGTGGGGGAGGAAGGGAAAGGAGAATGTTAGCCGCTTTGAGACTCCTTAAAGGGAGTGAAAGGCGGGATATCAAATCCAAACTCTTCTTCTGCATCTTCTATGGCATGGGTAGGCAAACTAAGGCTTGGGGGCCAGATCCGGCCCAATCACCTTCTAAATCCAGTTATGGCAGTTCAGGAATCAGCATGTTTTTACATGAGTAGAATGTGTCCGTTTATTTAAAATGCATCTCTGGGTTATTTATGGGGCACAGGAATTCATTCATTCCCCCCCCCAAAAAAAAACCATAGTCTAGCTCCCCACAAGGTCTGAGGGACAGTGGACCAGCCCCCTGCTGAAAAAGTTTGCTGCCCCCTGTTCTATGGCATTGCAGGGGGAGCTGGGAACACATCTTTTAGTCCAGGCACTACTTCACTGTTCCAGGGTATAAAGTCAGTGACTTGTTAGAGTTGCAGGTTACTTTTTTCACCAGGAAGGAAGAAAGGGGGTGGGAAGCAAAGCCAACAGTTCCCAATGTGATTATACTGAATCGTTGTCCTCCTGATGGTTTGGCATGCCAGAAGTAACAATCCTAGCACTCCAAAGTACTGGAGCAGAGGTCTCCCAATGGTGGGCTGTGAGCTTTGTTCAGGTGGTCCGTTGCATATCTGTCAATTTGTGGTTGAAGACGGGGGGGGCTGGCATATCCATCATATTAAATTGTTGTTCACTGCTTTGTGATATTTGAGTTGGTCCTAAGAAAGGTATTGCCCTACTGTGGCTTTTGGCTTTTTCCTTGTTTATGAGGCACATTGAGAATCTAATTTTACCGAGGTTTATCTGTGTTGCTTCCTGCCTCATGTGTGACCATGAGGTTATTATTTTTTAATGCTATCATAAAATGTACATTATTTTAAAAGGTAAAGGGATCCCTGACAGTTAAGTCCAGTCGTGAACAACTCTGGGGTGTGGCGCTCATCTTGCTTTACAGGCTGAGGGAGCTGGCGTTTGTCCACTCCGCAGACAGTTTTTCCAGGTCATGTGGCCAGCAGTGCATGGAAACACCGTTTACCTTCCCGCTGGAGCGGTACCTATTTATCTACTCACACTTTGAAGTGCTTTCAAACTGCTAGGTTGGCAGGAACTGGGACCGAACAACGGGAGCTCACCCCGTCATGGGGATTCGAACTGCCGACCTTTTGATCAGCAAGCCCAAGGCTCAGTGGTTTAGTTAAACACAAATTGGTGTCTGCCATTCTGAGGATATGGATTTCAAAACCACCAGGGTATGGCAAAAATGCCAGGAATAAAATGCTATTGTCACCTGGTAATAAACTACCACAACATTTTATGCTTCAGTTATGAAATAGACACTGTGATTCAGGAAGAGAATAATGCCTCTCAACATTGCCACTAACTCCAGGAAAATTTATACAACCAGGACCCTCAAATGGTAGCACTTTTCCTGGAATCTACCACTTTGGTTGTAGATTTGATAGATGGGGTGCAAGCTCATTTATTTGCTTGTCTAAAATAATATCTATCCTGATCCCTAAGTGAAATCAGAGTAATGTATACTAAAAATGAAAAACAATATATAAACATGCAATGGAAAGCAACAAAACCCACAGTAGCCAAATTATCTACGAGTATTCAAAAGCTTGATTTAAAAGTTACACCAAGGAACCCTACAGATTTCCCAGAGGGTCAGGAGGCAGAGGGACACCCCAGAAAAGGCCCTCTCCTAACTTGTCATCTCATGAACACCTGTGAAGGGACAGAGAGAAGAGCACCCATGAAAGGGCTCAGTTCTTGGCCAGGATTGTATGGGCAATCTGGTCCCAAACTGTTTAGGTCAAACCCAAGTCTATGTTCTTGTAGGGAAAGAAAAAAGAACTCCTACACACATATACATGGTGTTATAGATTTGGGGGACCCCCCTAAACCTTAGAAATTAATAAACTGTAGGATTTTGATTGAGTATTGAAGGGAAGATTGCAGGACAGTGGGAAAATACAGGCTAAGCTTGTTTCCAAGCCAGACCCTCACCTGGGATAGTGGCATTAACAGGACACTTAAAGGGGTGGGGCCTGGGCAGGCAGAGGTTGCCATGGTATTTGAGGTGTCAGGGGAAAAGTTACTTTAGAGCAAGGCCTGCGGAACAAGTTCCCCCTGAAATGACCATGCTGTAGGATCTGAACTCCCTCCATGCAGACTAAAGGTGTAAATATGTAAATAAAACATAGGTACTTCTAAAATCCATGACAGTCTCTGCTGTGTCTTCAGTTCTCCAAAGGAGCATAAAATCTGGGTGAGCATCTGGAACCCCCTGGCAGAGAGTGGGGGTGGCACCCAACTTTTGTAACAATATAAATGGCATGTGAGGAAGATGGTTGAACCTTCTCTCCTGTCATACTATTTTTGGTTTGTTTTTACATGACAGGTATTTTTATGCAGGAAGAATTCATATGGGCAAACACCTATAGCCTAAAGTCATGTGGCTGCACTTTATCACGGTTCTGCTGACTGTGTACACTGGCTCTAACCATAATGTGTGTTACAGCATTAAAAACCCCAATGACAGTTTTCCTCAGAAATAGGCCCCACTGATTTCGGTGGGTCTTACCTCCATGCAAGTGTGCACAGGACTCCAGTCCTAGCCTTACAGTTGGCAATTACCCTCCTCATAGATTCCTCCCTGGCTACTCATCTTACCTTAATTTAATGAATTGATTTTAAACATTTATATACCGCTTTACATTTAACATTTTCAAAGTGGTGTGGAGAAAAATATATAAAGAAAGCAATATATAAGCAGAACAATGAATAACACATAATGTGTGATAATAGATGGTCTTCTAAATTTCATTCTGCACTTCACATTTATTTGATAAAGGAAATGATTTTGCTCATTTTATAACCATGTATCTTGGCTACGTCAGGGAAATTTTTGGAATGTTGTCTGTTGGTGTCCTCAGCATCAAGGCACGCACACCACTTGGCTCTCTTTCCTGAGAGGTAGCTCACAACAATTAAAATCAATGGGAGTTGCTAT